AAAATTAATTCACTATGACACAGTGTTTTCTAGTTCTACAACCCCTCTTCACAGAAGTAGCAGAAAGAGAAGGTATGAGGAATCCTAAAGGGTCTTAAGCACACAGACAAGGAAGCTCTGTTTCTCTGGATCCTGAGAATTCATATTGAAAAACCCCAACCTTCCTTCCCCACCTTTGCTGATAGCAACTTTTCCAAAGGAAACACTTGCAGTCCATTCTCTGTGATGTCTCTACCCCATCCCTGGGAAGGACAAAATAATGGGGAGGGGCCAGATAGCTGTCATCAATACTCAAAGCAGGTTTTATGCTGGGGAGAGGGAAGTCTCCCCTTATAAAAGTCTGTCAAATCTTGAAGGAAGTGTTTTACATACTGGACGTCATTCTTTCCCAGCATCGACTTTCTGATCTGTGGACACCGATGATACAGGGTGCGTAAACGACTTTGAAAAACTCAGAAGAAGAAGGGAAAACTACTAACTAACCCACTCTCCTTCTGAACAACGTAGAGATCCTAGAGGAAGACCCAGACCCATCTTCATGAAATCCTACAGAAAGAATGTACATGAGACTGCCTGATTTAAATGCCACCAGCACACACACCCTTCTGAGAATTCCAGCACTGGTAACTTTTTATAGTCTCAACTTTTTGAATACAATAAAAGGTGAACTTACTGACCATAATTGTTTGGATTTGTACTCATAGCTTATTCAGTATGCAAATCAAAGATGCTAACTTCATGTGCTGTGCTACCCATGTAATAATGTGGAACGACACACTCCAGTAAGAAGCCCTATGTGCTGTGCTGTCTACTGAACTCTTGTTTTTATTTAACAAATTTACCATAATAAATATAAAATATACCCTTTTCTAAATATAAGCTTCCAGATACCTTCTGCAACAGAAGATTCCCAGAGTTTTTAAAGAGTAAACAGCCCCTCATGAGAACAGCAGAATCAGGAAACACTCCTTTTGACATATAATCACGAGCCCGTTTTTTTCTCTCATTTGTTAATGATACAAAAGGCACTTTGCAAGAAGAGTTTACTACACTAAAAAGAAATATTGGCAAAATAATTCATTTCTACCTGTCTAGCATTTTAGCAACTAGAAGCAAGATGTAACTTGCAGCATGTAACCGACCAATTCTCCACAGTTTACCAGCAAAACCTACACATTTTAAGAAATATTCTGATTTATGTAGCCTGTTCTTTAAAATTATTTCTTAACATAATAGATGTAAAAGAAGGAAGAAAAGATACACAAAGCTGAACAATGGGATAATAAGCCTGTGATTAACTTAAAAGTGAATCCATGGGAGGAGAGCATTATGTCATCCTAAATACACTGATCTAAATAGTTAATTCTTTTTAATATTAAGTATTCTATTTACACCACTTCACAGATACGGGTTAAGGCATTTTATTCAGCTTTAGGGGCTCTCCATTTTGTGTTGAAATGAATGAGACATTTCAGAAACATTTATTTTGTAAGTATTTCTACAGGTACGTGAAGCTACAGTTTTTATGCAGGATATTTCCTTACAACATGCCACAGAGATGACCGCTATATGTATCAATTGATACCGAAATAGTAAGATTACCTTCTCATTGCGAGGCTCAATGTCAAATACAATACAAATTCAAGTGGCAAACTGTTCCCCAGGTAGTAAAAAGCTGTAGATAGCTTTAACAAGTGACTAATTCAAGCATCTATCCTTAATTTGGTGTGAAACTCACCTCTGAAATCCAATCAACAGATTTTGCATTTACTGTGGTTGTGACAGAAGTCAATGGCCTCAAAATGTTTTCACCTCTCAGAAGTTGTTAAGGTTTAAGCAAAAACGTCGGTTTAAGCAAAAATGTCTGTTTAAGCAAAATCTTCACATCATAACAACTAACCCAAATCTGTTACTCTCTAAAACACATACACAAGTCTTCAGTAATTTGAAGAGCTGCCTACCAGCAAGAAATTCACACCCTTGAGGCAGAAGCACCACATCAGACATAGTAGTTCTAAAGAAAATTCAGACCTAGACATGCCCAAAACAAAAAACCAAGACAGCCCTGTCCTTCAGCTGGGAAGACTCATAGTCCTGGATTTGGCCATGTGAGGTGTCAGAGGACTAACTTTATAGAACGAGCTGAATTATGAACTTAAGTGTAGACGGAAAGGAAGGAAGATCAGAACCTTGAATACTCAGGATACATCATCACAACTAAATCAAACACTGAACTCACATTCCTGTTTTAGCCATCATTTTTTTCTTTTTTTAATAAATGACACTTTCCTTGCAAATTTAGCAGTGATTCAAATGCAAAATTTACACTTGTTAGTATCTAAATATATGATACCCCGGGCTTAACAGCTAGTACTACGATAAATAATTTTGTGGGTTTAGATCTTTCTTTTCTGTGTTGTCAGACATTATCTTAAATTTTATATAGAACACTTAGCTTGTCTTTCTAGTTCTAGACTAACCACACCACTAGTCCCAGTATAACATAGACCACTTGAAAATATAAAACAAAGCTTCACTTTAGTAACACAACTGCATCACTTGTTCCATTAACATAATGGGAACTGGAGAGAAACTACAAACTTAGTAACAGGTTTAGCAATATATTCCTGATTTTTGTTTTAAATCAACATATTGATGCTTGAATGATTAATGAGAAAGTGGCATCCTGTTTCCATAGAGGATGCAATTTTGAACATCTTTCAGTATAGAATCAGATCAACTTTAACTGCTTTTAAAAACTGACCTCCATTTCTTATATACGCTACGAAAGACTTATGTAACACAAAAAACAGTCATCTTAGCCAATGTTTTTCCCCTTTTATGTACCATAAAAGACAACTGTTGTGATTTTCTATACTGTCACAAAAATAAATTAAAACAATGGCAAAAGCATTACACCTGGTATATACCAAGTCATACAGTACCACAGAATGGCCTTTGTGAGATGAAAGGGGTAATCGCTGCTTCTGATTACACCCAAGTAACTTTAATGAGAGTGCAGCAACATCTATAAACACAATGACGACATTAGCAGAACACCAGTTATGAAACCCCTGCCAACACTGCTTGTACAGGGGTTTTTTGTTTTGTTTTGTTTTAATCAAGATATAAAAATCTTACCAAGTTCTGCTGTTTGGGGTATTTGCAGAGCCCTGCAAAAAATCTGTAAGACTAGGCAGCTTTAAAGAATGTAACATGCAGTAGTAACCATGACGATAAGAAAAATGCTTTTGCTAATCTTTTTCTTTCAGACAACAATACTTTCAAATACTGGTGTTTTTCCACTGTATTACAACTTTTGTTTGTTGCGCCCTGTGAATCTAGGCCTCCAGTCCTTGTAAACATGAAACTTCTGACAAAGTGAACAGCAATTTGGGGTGCACTAGTAACACAGAATGAGTCCTAACCAGTCTACCAGCATATGAGTGACTGGTAGGATGGACATCACTTGTTGGCAACTATGTCTTATTTCATTGTTGCACAGAATAGGTAGAAAAAAAAAATTACTACATTTTTAAGATAATTACTTTGCAAGTAAATGAGAAATCTAAAAAATAATAGAAAGGCAGAGTGTACATAGGGTATTTCTATGGAGATCATAAAACTGCTGAGATGGGTTGACCATAAACTTTGAGAAAACAGCCTGGAACTCCTCTGCATTGATTTTGTCTTGATTTTGTATTAAGTTGGGATTTTTAAGCAATAAAAAATAAAATAAACAAAGATTCTTCAGAAATTAATCTTTGTTCTCTACTATTTCTCCAACAGAATGCTTTCAAAAGATGTAGGTGATTTGGATCTGAAGTCACATTTTGAAAAGTAACTAAAGGGCTGATTTTCAAAGGCATTAAGATACCTAAAGATGCATTAAGCACTTAGAATTTTTAAAATTGCCTGGGCATCTAACGCCTATTTAAATCACTTAGTCCTTTCTGAAAATCCCAATGGGCAGTTATCTACATTTTATATGTCTATATGCCTTTGAAAATCTGTACCATTAAATACTTAACAACCTAAGTCCTCCTGGCTTTTAATGAGACTTAGGGTCCTAAAAAGTGTAAGTACTTCTGAAAATTGGTCAAGCTACTCTCTCTGGTCTTTTCTTCTTTCTCTTAAAAAGCCATCTACTAATGCTTATCGGTAGCATATCAGTTACCTACAGCTTCAACATGTCAGACTTACACATTATACTGTGCACATTCAATTTTTTTATGTGACTAAGCAAATAAAGGTCCTGAGTACCAACTGCATCCTCATAAGACTTTCTGAAACTCCAAAAAAAAATTAATTCCAACCCTGTGAATGCCCAAAAATCATTGTTTCAATAGATCTGATCCAAAATTAGTATAATTTAGGTTGATAAAAAACCAAACAGCATAGTTTAATTACCGAGCAACATATTCAAATTACTACAAACAAGTTTTGAAAGACAGCCACGCAGCAACAAAAAATGTTCAGAGAAAAACTAGAAAAAGAAGGAAGTTGTGCATAGGCTCTTTAAACAGGCAGCAGTTCCAGAAAAGAAGATAAGCCTTAATTTTGAAATTTCTTCTTTAAACAAAAATGTATGAAACCATAAAGCATTCCCTTATGCAAACATTTGAAAGATTTATTTTCTGATCTTCTTTAATGTCAATGGGACATAACTTGCACTGACCACATTCCCAAAAAGGAACTGATTTGTAAATTAGGAACGCAGGGAATCAGATTGCCACCTACAGGAAAATTTAGCATTTATTGTCAAGAATGACTCCAAAAGAATACAAATTGCCATCCTGTCAAGCACTCTTTCAGTTTTAGTTATTATTTCAAAACCAATTAGTATTTTCTTTTGTGCAACTATATCATGAACTCCTAAATCCAGAAAGCCATTAACATTTCTTTTTATTTAAGAGACCATTGCTTGAAAGTTCCATAATTCAACTACAAAGCAGCATACTATAATCATGTTTTGGATAAAGAATTTTAAGTCTGCTTACCTGATACAATTGGTGCTAGTCTGAATATGTCTGATAGTCTGCTGTTAACTGGTTCATAAGGGGAATCTTCAAGCAAGTCATTTCCTAAAGACAAAAAATACTTGGATTTTTTTCTTATTCAAGAATTCAAGATAAGATTTTGTTGTTTACTTTTACTCTGAAATGAAGTTACTCTGTAACAGCAAAAGGTACTCCCCTTTAATCTGTTTATGTGGCTACTTCTCCTCAAAGCATTATCTATAAAAACACCTGAAAGCAGCTGGTTGTTTATCCCTGACACTAGTTCCTTCCTCTCCTTCATCCATGGATAAGGTCATAATTTGCAGAGACGGCCTGTGACATCACAGGGACTGTCCCATCTCGTGCCAGCAGGAGAGACGCTGTAGCAGGGATGTTCCTCCTCATTCACCCTAACAGTAGAGCTCTTTTTAGAGGAGCAGCCCAGGTAACAGCCAAAAACTAGCATCTTTGGAATAAAACACTCCTAACAAGATGCTGTTGGAAGGGAAACTTTTTATGATGCAGAAAACGTCCAAGAGTAGTGTAATTTATTATGAAAGTTAGAACAAAAATATATACGGACTCATTAAGACATTCCAGTTGGTGCCTGGATAAATGAATAGAAAGGGATGACTTCCCTTTTTGCAGAAGCAACTACAGAAAAGACTTAAATGGGGACCACACTGAAGTGAAAGACTGCATCTTCAATTCCAGGGCCAGAGCAAAACAGGGCTAAAAATTATGTATCTCATATAAGGACCCGACTGTTCTCAGTAGACTATGGGAAATTTGCCAGTGACATCAAAAACAGAAGTCCCAAGTCAATCACTGTCATATCCCTTCAAACTGGCCATCTAGGAAGCACAAACTTCTTTTTTTCTGCCTCAGCATGCCCAGGGAATATTGCTAGTAAATACAGGAAAGGAAAGAATAAACTTTTCCTTAAAACAATGCTCCTCTTCATATTACATTTAACTTTCAGCAAAGAGCTAAGAAACTAGTTCCAGTGTCCTGTGATCTTGTTAGGTGAGTCCTAATTAAGGAGTTTAAATATTATTAGGAAAATGTCTCCAAATGATTGTTTTTGTAGCTTTTGCACTTGCTAGTGCCCTTATCTTTTGACTCGGGTTTAGAAAGGTCAGCTGGGTCCCCTGGAGGAAACCCTCATTGTGGATTTCCCAACAACAGGAGACGGAGCAGCAGCTGTTCTTGCGTCGGATGAAAGGTCCTCAGTTTGCAGCTGAAGAGCACAATGTGAATTATGGGGTCAGACTCTCGGTTTAGCCTCAGTGGCGGTAGCTAGCTGCGGATGTGAGGGGCTGCAAAATCACACACTGCATTAGGGGAGTGTAACATTTCTTTGTTTTGCAACGTACCCTGTAAGCTCTGGTACATGCTCCAGTAAATGCGCAGGCAGTTTTTCTCCTTCTTCATGCCTCTCTTACAGCGGCAGTTGTACAGAGATTTCTGCTTGAGAGCTTCCATGGCGCTTTTGCATTCGTCCTTTGCCTCCAGGCCTGTCGCCCGGCTGAAGTTGCTCTCTTTGCCGGCTACACACTGCCTCAGTGTCCTGTATTTAGTACTACAGCTCTGCTCCTTGAGACACTGATCGCTGGCTTTCACACAGTCAAGGCGGTCCCCTCCAGGCAGCCCGTTCACTTCTGCGGACAAAAGTACATCTAGAGAGAGGAGACACAAACCAACAAACTCTCGTTGAGGGATGAGGCTGATTTAACCAGGGCTCCAAAGCAGGCATCCGGGAAGCACAAGGCACCTCCTGCCGCAGCACATGCAGCCAGCCCCACGGACAGCACCTTGCTAACCTCAGGGCTTCATGCTACACCTTAGGAAAAAGCACACGGGGTTTTCATGGTCTTAGGTCCACTTTTGTGGAAGTCCAAGGAAACAGTACGTTTTAACCCTACTGGTTGATTTATGAGAAAACACAAAAAGGAAAGAAAACCCACAGGGGTTAATGTGCCTGACAAAACAAGCATTCATTATTCCTCAGATCCACTTTGGTGAAACAAATAACCTTTCCATTCGAGTGTTTAACTGAGGGGTTAAATATTCGGCCTCACTTTCCACAAGAGCTTTGCTGAAATTTCAATTACATCCGCGAACAACCAGCTCAAAGAGATAAGTATCCTCACTGATTGATATTAGCCTCTTTTTGCGTCAGTCACTTTTTAAAGGCTGTACACATTTTTGCTTATTCTACATGCATAAAGGTAGAATTTATGACTCCCTCCCCTCCATTTCTCTCCACGTATGATGCTTTTGCAAGAGAACAAAGCAAATTACATTAACTCTCTCCTCTCCATCGTGCCCCCTGTCACGCTCCCTCAGACACATGCAGATGGAAACGCAAACACCTCCTGTGGAAAGGAAACCAGTTTGGGCTGCAAACCACTCACAGTCAGGCAGGTTACCAGGTTCAGGTGAAGATGTAATCCTTCAGCTGACCCTTGTCACCCCCCACCCTCCCCAAGCAGCCTTATTTTATTAAAATGAAAAGTTTCCCTGTAACTTGCGAGAACCCAATTTAACAAGAGGCTACGCAGGCAAGTATCTAAATCTCTAATCTCCCAGAGCTTTAGATACAGACGGGGTTAACTGATGTGAGGCAGAGCCGTAAAAACTACTGGAAACTTCACTGTTCTGACTAAACAATAGACTGACAACCGTCAGATATCCGATCCCGTAAACCCTATGCTTTGCTTTATGAAGCAACGTACAGAGAGAAATCAGACGCCAGCAACTTACCCACTAAGGGCAAAGCGAAGTACAAGATAGCGAGAAACATCTTGCTGTCTTCGGATAGTTTCCCCAAACGAGCTGATGTGCCACAACAAAGAGGATCAGCATGTAGATATTCCAAAACCGCCGAGGTCCAAAGGTTCCAAGTTCAGATCCATTGAATTCAAGGAAAAAAAGAAACCCTCTTCCTCTTCACCGCTACCACCACCAGCGGCAGGAGCAGCGACGCAAACGCTGAGCTTTTTCCCTTAGATTTCAGGTCTGAGCAACCTGGAAACACAAGCACTGACTTCAGTGAGGGAGCGAGAGAAGCGCACGCACGGGTATATGTGTGTGCGAGTGAGCAACCGGGAGCGGGGCAGGAGCGCCGGTCGCCTCCTTGGGTGGGCAGCGCCTGTTCCCAGGGAGGGACCGAGAGCACTCACGAAGGTGGGGGGGGACGAGATCCGCGGCGCCCGCCCCC